TTTATTTATTTATTTGAGAGAGAATGAGAGACAGAGAGCATGAGAGGGAGGAGGGTCAGAGGGAGAAGCAGACTCCCTGCCGAGCAGGGAGCCCAATGCGGGACTCGATTCCGGGACTCCAGGATCATGACCTGAGCCGAAGGCAGTCGCTTAACCAACTGAGCCACCCAGGCGCCCCCAAAGCCCTGTCTTTCTGTTTCACCTCCAGTCTTCCCCTACCCCCCATTCAAGAGAGACAGTTCGGGGCTGCTTGAGAAGATTGATGGATACTCAACAGTTTTTTAGCCTTTTAGTTGATCCTTTCTAATTCAGTCAAGAAAATGGATTCACTATTATGAGCAATCTAATAAAGTTAATAAAAATAAGAATAGAAGAACTGATAGGGACGCCTGGGTGGCTCAGTCAGTTAAGTGTCTACCTTCAGCTCAGGTCATGATCCCAGGGTCCTGAGATCGAACTCCACGTTGGGCTCTCTGCTCAGTGGGGAGCCTGTGGCTCCCCCTGCTTGTGCTCTGTCAAATAAAATCTTAAACAAAAAAAAAAAGAAAAACATTGATAAGCAGGACCAGATTCAGTGGAGAGCTGCCAGGATGGTATGAGACTTAAAAATGTGATACATGAGGAGGAGTATAAAATTATGTTCTATCAGATATCTAGAATGTGATAATGCTCTTTAAATATTCAGAGGATTGTTCCATGGAAAAAGGATCAGGTATTAGATATTCTTTGCTCTCTTAGAGTCAAGAACAAGGAATCAGTAGAGCAGAGTTTAGCTCAAAATAAGAAAGAACTTTCTAATACTACCATTATTTGAAAATGGAATGAGTTGCTTTGGGAGATAATGAGTTCCCACTGAGTTTATCCAAGCAGAAGCTCTACAGCTATTCGTGGAGGATGTTTCAAGGCAGTTGATGCAACAGATGAGGGGGTTGAGTCAGAAAATTTCTCAAGTCCTCCCAGCCCTTCTATAAAATACATTTGTGATGAGGTATTTTCCTTTCCACATAGGGAACATAAATAATAGTAATAAAGTGTTTTAAAAATTCATTTAGTTTTTTTATATTTTTAAACTTCTTCAAAAGAAGTTTTAAAAATGTTTCAATTTTGAAAAGTCAGTGTATTAAATTTTATATATTTATAAGAGTAAACACTTTGGGAACCTGTCCTTAATCCAGAATGAATCTTATCCTGAAAATTGATTTCTTTGCCTTATAAAATTACTTTTCATTTTGGTTCAAGGTTGTTTTTCCCACTTTTATACATCTTAGCCATTCTGATTTGGCTGAGAAACTTTTGGTATTTCCAAAAATCAAATCTAGTCTCAAAAGATTTGTAGGGTAATCACATGTCCTGATGTTCACCTGAGGTCGTACCCACCCCCTTTCATTCCCTGAAGTCTGGTTATGGTCACCCTCGTTACATACCACCACTGAGAATGTTTAGTAGCTTACTTTGCAAGCTCAAGGGCAATTCTGAAGAGAAGTTAAAAGATCTTTTTAATGAGTATCAGTATTGTTGGATTAGTCTGTAGCTTCCCTGCTGGCTTTTTGGAAGGCAGTAATATGCCCATGGATGGAAAAGTTATTTATGATGTATACCTCCTATTTTCTACCAGCCAGACTGCTTTTGGGAAATAATTATGTTCCATATGTGGGAGTAGCTGAAGTGATTAGTGCATACACACATGTCCCTTTAATATCGTGCACTCAATGTTAAGTTCGAAGAATGAGTTAAAACAAATTTATTGAGATTATTTTCCTTTATTCAGGTTTCTGTCTGCTCAGAATAAATAATCTATGGGCAAATAAATAATAATTCTGTCTGCAGTTTGTTCAAAAGTTCAAAAAGTTCAAAGCCATATTTATTTTACCTGTTTCTGTGATTTAAAAGCAGAGCATATAACTTATTCTGATCTTATTTTTTTAGTTTACCAGCAAATCAGAAGCTCTATTACTAAAAATACGTGGAGTTATCAACCAGTTAGCATTTGGTATTGACAAAAGGTACTGATAAACTATCTTTTTTTTTTTTGCCAATAATAATCTCATCTGATTATTGTTCTCATATAATTATTGTTTCTTCATAAGAAAGTGCCCCCAAATGGTTATTCTTAGGGAAATAGTTTCATATTATTTCCTATTTCTTGTATTGTTTAAATATTTCTCAAATTTTATAACTAAAATGTTATGTAACAGTCTGAGACTAGAATAAAATAATGATACTATTACAGCTGTTTCACTGATTTCTTTGACTTCTCTCATGTTAGTAGCTTTCCCTGTATTATCATTTTCTTATATTGATTAGAAATTGAATTGATCATTGTAGTATGTATACTTTTCTTAACCTTGCTACTTTTCCTGGTTTTCATTTAAAGTAATTTGGGTCTGTCACTTTTTTTCCCTATAAAACTTTATTAAAATATGCCAGACTTTAATTTTTGAAAAAGCTTAAATAGATATTCACTCATTCATTTGGGGACAGTGCTCTCTCACCAGTGGCTAGATGTAAAACTTGGCTCTTGTATTTACAGTAGAGCATGGCAGGATATTCGATTGCTAAACTAAATTAGACTCTTTTTTCTTCTTATCCATGTAGCAAATCAATATGTGTGGATCAGAATAAACCACTGTTTATCACAGCAGGATTGGATTCTTTAAGTCAAATAGGTTGGTGAACTTATTAAGATTGTTCAATCTTTTTTTAATTGCTTATTGATTTCATCCTACCCCATGTTCACTTCATCTCCAACATACCATTTCTGATTTCATTATCATTGCTGTTATTTCTTTTTTTTTTTAAAGATTTTATTTATTTGACAGAGAGAGACACAGCGAGAGAGAGAACACAAGGGGAGTGGGAGAGGGAGAACAGGCTTCCCGCAGAGCAGGGAGCCCGACATGGGGCTCGATCCATGGGGCTCGATCCCAGGACTCTGGGATCACGACCTGAGCCGAAGGCAGACGCTTAACGACTGAGCCACCCAGGCGCCCCCATTGCTGTTATTTCTTATGTATTTATTTGTATACACAGTATTGATGCAACCTGCATCACATTGACATATTTGTGATGGAAGGGATGTTGCCACATAAGAGACGGATTTCAGATCTCTATTTCACTAAAAAATTTTGCACGTATTTCCTTTCCCTCACTGATTTCCAGGTACGTTTAAATTTTAGCTTGTTGGGTTTAGAAGAAAACCAGAAGCACAGAGTGGTCAGGAAGTGAAAGCTATATATTATGGGCAGTGATGAGAAATACGAGATTCAAGTGATGGAATAAACCAAAAAAGAACAGTTGTACTAATTATGTATGCTTTAATTCTTCATTATGAAAATAGTTTGCTTCAGATAATGGGATGTATTTCCTAAACTTACAGACTTTTAGGCTCATGAAGCAAAAAGAATTTTAAGGGTTTATATAATCAAGCTCCTTATCTTTCCACAGAAACTACTTTCATTGTGGAGTTTTGGGGCCTAGCAACTCTTTCTACTCGGGGACTGACATAGTTTGGTTTTAACGCTCTAGTAGATAGTAATTTTCTTTTTTATTTCCCGTCCATCATTACTCTTACATGCTAAAGTTGACTGGACTTCAAATGTAGATCTTTGTAATGAGATTACAGATTGAATTGGAATGAAAAGAATAGAGGTGGTTAATGAGTGATCACAAAGACTGGTTTTTATAATTAACACCGACTTAATTTCATTAGCTATGAGAATCACTGTGTGTACTGATAGATAATGCCCCTGTAAGTAGTTGGAGGTCAAAAAAGGAATGAGAATTACTGAATTTAAAAATCATGGAGCTTAGACCTCATCAAAATTAAAAACTTTTGCTCTTGTAAGTCCATTTGAAAAGGATAAAAAGACATACTACATGCTGGGAGAAAATATTTTCAACTGCATCTCTGACAAAGGACTATTATTATCTAGAATATATAAAGAACTTAACAGTAAAAACAAAATCCTATTAGAAAATAGGCAAAAGACATGAGCAGACATTTCACCAAAGAGGATATACAAATGGAAAAATAAGCATATGAAAAGATGTTTAATATCTTTAATCATTAGGGAAGTGCAAATGGAAACCACAGTGAGCTCATCAGAATAGCTAACCAAAAAAAAGTGGCAACACCAAATCCTGGCAAGAATATGGAGAAACTGGATACTCCTACATTGCTGGTAGGAATGTAAAATGATACAGCCACTCTGGAACACAGTTTGACAGCTTTTTATAAAACTAAACATGTACTACCATATGACCTAGAAATTGCATTATTGGGCATTTATCTCAGAGAAATTAAAACTTACGTTCACATAAAAGTCTGTACACAAATGTTCGTGGTGGCTTCATTTGTAATAGCCCCAAACTAGAAACAACCAGATGTTGTTTAAAACTCTGTACTATGGTGTGGTATATCCATACCATAGACTACTACTCAGCAATAAAACGGAACAAACTATTGATAACACACAGTAACTTGGATGAATCACCAGGGAATTATACTGAGTGAAAAAAAGCCAATCGGAAAAGGTTATATACACTACGATTCTATTTATGTAAAATTTTTGTGATGAAAAAATTTCAGAAGTGGAGGAAAGATTAATGGTTATCAGAGGTTAGGGACAGGACCGTACGTGGGGAAGTAGGAGAAGAGATTGGGAAGAGGTGGTGTGGGTATAAAAGGGCAAGGCAAGGGATCCTTGAGACAACGGCACTGTGCAGTATCTTGACTGTAGTATGCAGTATCTTGATGGTGGATACATTTACCTACAAAGATGATAAAATTGTATGGAACTTAATACACACAAACGAGGACAAGTAAAAAACTTGGGAGAGCTGAGTAAGATTGGTGGATTGCATCACTGTCTTTCCCACCAGAGTGATAAGGAGGTCGTGAAAGATCAACATTGTAAATGCTAGAATAGAAAGAATGAGAAATCTCAGATTATAGACAATTGCCAGGACGTGGCAGCATTTTTTCAAATTAATTTTCAAATTAAAGTACACAATCAGTACATAAAGACATTCTCATTATAAAGTGTTAAAATAGGGCATATAAGACTTCCAGACTGGGGCGCCTGGGTGGCTCAGTCGTTAAGCGTCTGCCTTCGGCTCAGGTCATGATCCCAGGGTTCTGGGATCGAGCCCCGCATCAGGCTCCCTGCTTGGCGGGAAGCCTGCTTCTCCCTCTCTCACTCCCCCTGCTTGTGTTCCCTCTCTCGCTGTGTCTCTCTCTGTCAAATAAAAAAAATTTTAAAAAAAAAAAAAAAAGACTTCCAGACTATTTTCTATACGTGTGAATGCGATATAGAAAAAACTACTTGTTTGAACATAATTGTATCATTCTATAGCTATTGTTTTGAAAGTTTCCCTTTCTACTCAATACGTCCTAGCGGTTTTTCCGTATTAATGCTGCAGCTAGGTCTGTTTGGTATTTTGACTGCTGTAGGGTTACAGAGCATGGCTGTGCATAGTAATTTAGTTCACTATACCTTACTGAAGGACAGTTTAGTTCTGGCCAATTTTTCACTAATACAAATGAAATGATGCTGCAGTATGAAATCATTAATACCTGTGTGCAGGTGTTTCTAGATTAAACACCAAAAACTGGGGTTTCTGGGTAATAGCATATAACCTTTTTCCATATTTGCATGGCAGTTAGTAGTGCCAAATTACCCTCTGAATTAGTTGTCCCAATTTGCACTCTAGTGAGTAGCACATAAGAGTGTTTCCTTATAAAATCATAAACACATGAGAATATCAAACCTGCTATTTTCACCGGGTGGCAGTGTAAGTATGGGGAAAGAGTATCACAATTGACTCATTACTCTTCTCCTCTTCCTCTGGTGCTAGAATCTGTGGCCTTGCTACACTGGGTTGGGGTAAATTTTAAGAGTGGCTATATTAGGGAGAAGGGAAATGAATGATCTAGGATTTGTATTTTTCTAAGTGTCATCTATTTTATTGAGACAGTTTGTCAAGTTTTAATCAGTGTAGTCATTTGATGTACAATTTCCAATTTTAGGATCTCCTCCTGTTCCTGATAATGACATTGGAAAGCTTCATGCCCATTCACCAATGGAGTTGTGGAAGAAAGTGTATGAAAGGGTCTTTCCACCAAAGGTAAAGATTTCTAATTCTTTTAAAGCAAGAATTTTTTGCATTATTCACCAGTTATTAGGAAATGTTCCAACGAGCCTATTATGATTACTTTGTTTTCTCCTCTCGCATGCTCAAAAATTGTGTGCCAAAAATCTATTGTACACAAGGCACTGTGGCTTTTAAAAGTTGAGCAAGACACAGCTCTTCAAATTCAGCTCCCCAGATTCAGCTCCCAGGCTGCTGGCGAAGTGGGAGACAGCAGCTGGACAGAGAGGGAGGGAGAGGGCCTGGTGGAATCTGAAATGGGCCTCAGCGGTGATGATAAAACCTCAAAAGACCATAGTCAGTCTGGCTGAGGCAGATGATAGTTGTTGACAGTTTGGGGGTATGGGCATGAAATGACTTGAAGAACTGTAATTTCAGAGTATCAACATGCTAAAAGATATCAAGGACCCTGCAAGAGACCCTCAGTATGCTGAAAGTGAAGTTGACGAAATGAGAATTCAGAAGGATCAGGTAGTATCCTCAACATTTATTTTATCTCATCTTGAATTTTATCACAAAATACCTGTAGAATTCCATAGATTTTTCTCAATGTATTTAATTTTTTTTTTACTTTCAGAATTATTGAAGGGGTGCCTGGCTGGCTCGGTTGGTAGAATGTGCAACTCTTGATGTTTGAGGTCATGAGTTAGAGCCCCACGCGGGGTGTAGAGATTACTTAAAAATAAAATCTTAAAAAAAAAAAACTGAAATAATACATCTTTACTATATAAAAAAAAATTCTGATGTGCATGAAGAAGGAATTTAAATCATTCCACCACCCAGAGATGACATAATGTTCACATATCCTCTTTGGGTTTTCCAGTTAACTTTATGTTGAAGATGGGTAGTGATTCTTACCTTGCTGCTGGGGAGACCATTTCACATAATCTATGGGATTATTTAAATGTTTTTGGTTTTTGTTAGAATATTCAGACATACTTAAACTCTTCTTGTACCAGAAAAATTCAGGATTACCAGTCTGAAAGCGTGTAAACACAGGATCTCTCAGGAAAATGGTTAAAATGGAGACTGTGTTCCACATATGCCCAGCTAGCGCCATTTGCGATAGAAAAGTCTGATGTAAGAATGCAAAAGCTGGCAAATTCATCATGACCCGATACTTAAAATTTTCCCGGATCTCTAAAACGAGACATTGTGCAGAACCCAAATTTACAGCAAGCACTGTAAACTGAGTGCCCCGACAGCCTCTTGGGTGGGGTTTGTAGAGCTGTCACGTGGGCCGTCACACTGTTGTGAGGGTAAGCCGAACACAGCCATCCACGGGAGTAGGGACTAGGGTATTTTTCTCAGCACTAGCCTTTCACCTTCAGGGGCCCTAGAATAAGAAAACAAAACATCCTATTTAAACATAGTCCAGAAGACTTTTGAAAACTATGTCATGCATATTTAGAGGGTTTTGTTGCTGTAGCAAAGTGAGAGGCGTGTTGTAGAAATAGTCACACGGCCTCACATAACCTTTACTATGTGTGCAGCTTAGCTAAAGATTAGTTGGAAGCCATCCCTGAATTAATATTTACCGAGGAGTCAATGACTAACTGCCATTGTTTGATAAGAGTATCTTTATATTGCATAGTGACCCCTTTTATTACACTTATATACACAGGTATTATGAAAGGGCTGGGGTATTTTTCAGCATCGTGACTTTTCACATTCAAATCCATCTTCCATTACTGACCTAAAACTGTAGGAATTTGGAGTGGAACTGGAAAGCAACCCCACAATACCTCCCATTCTTCACTATTAACTATTAACACAGCCTATGAAAGAATTCATCTGCATTACGTGAAAATCTAGCCAGTTGTCTATAGCTCTTCACACTACCTGTTTTTTTTAGATTATTTATTTGTTTATTTATTTGAGAGACTGAGTGAGTGAGCAGGGGTAGAGGAAGAGGGAGAAACAGACTCCCCACTGAGCAGGGAGCCCGACACGGGGCTGGGGTCCTGGGATCATGACTTGAGCTGAAGGCAGCCTCTTAACCAACTGAGCCACCCAGGTGCCCCTCTTTTTGATCTTTTAATATCATTATTGCCACATAACACATTTCCATAATTACATAAAAGTGTGTCCTTACTTAAAAACAATCTGTAAATGCTTAGAGAAGCCCATACTGTGTGCCATTTGTCTGCATACCTTTAACCCAGATACTTCTGATTCTGGTGCTTCTTGGGAGGACAGATGACGTCCTGTTTCATTAAAATATAATACAGTTGCATTATGAGTGGAGGGCTGGCCCTGAGTCCGTCTGAGACCACCTGTGATCCCCCCTCTTGATTCCCTCCCCATCTTCAAGCCCCATTATTAGTGGCTTAAATAATCATCAGGGAAAAAAAACAGTTTGGGGCTTTTAAGCTTTGGCAGTGAAATTAGAGCATGTCACTTCTAAGGTGAAGAGGCTCACTCGTGAGTTCCATTCAGTTCCTCCAACTCTGGAGCCATTGAAAAGGCTCAGGTCATACAGAATCACTAGGCAAGAAGAACGTGTCCATCCCTGGGCCCCAGAAGAACTGCATTTGAACCACATTTCTATTCAGTAATTCTGTTGGTGCCATGGAGGCACCAAGCCCCCCAAAATTCTGTAATACCTATTTTAAGTCCTTGGTAGTAAAATGTGTCATTTATGATAGTTGTCCAGACTCCTTGCTCCCCGTCTCCACAGCTGCATGTAGGTCCTCACAGGGGACTGAAATCAGTCCTCACATGTTTAAGGATCAGCCTTAAGGCCCCTTTCACCTTTCATGAAGACTGTCTTTGCTTAATTAGCTCTCTTTTCTCCACTCAGTTCTTTCTTTTGCCAGACTTCACATGGACACCAGAAAATACTTCCTCATAGAGTATCCTGGTTATCTGCAGAATGTGTGAGGTTGACTACTTCTTTGCCGATTCGGATGCCTTTTATTTCTTTTTGTTGTCTGATTGCTGAGGCTAGGACTTCTAGGACTATGTTGAACAGCAGTGGTGAGACTGGACATCCCTGACATATTCCTGACCTTAGGGGAAAAGCTCTCACTTTTTTCCCATTGAGAAGGATATTCGCTGTGGGCTTTTCGTAGATGGCTTTTATGATGTTGAGGTATGTACCCTCTATCCCTACACTGTCAAGAGTTTTAATCCAGAAAGGATGCTGTACTTTGTCAAATGCTTTTTCTGCATCTATTGAGAGGATCATACGGTTCTTGTCCTTTCTTTTACTTATGTAGTGTATCACATTGATTTGCAGATGTTGAACCACCCTTGCAGCCCAGGAATAAATCCCACTTGGACGTGGTGAATAATCCTTTTAATGTACTGTTGGATCCTACTGGCTAGTATCTTGGTGAGAATTTTTCCATCCATGTTCATCAGGGATATTAGTCTGTAATTCTTCTTTTTAGTGGGGTCTTTGGTTTGGGATCAAGGTAATGCTGGCCTCATAAAATGAGTTTGGAAGTTTTCCTTCCATTTCTATTCTTCGAAACAGCTTCAGAAGAATAGGTATGAATTCTTCTTTAAATGTTTGGTAGAATAATTCCCCTGGGAAGCCACATGGCCCTGGACTCTTGTTTGCTGGGAGAATTTTGATTACTGCTTCAATTTTTCTGTTTCTTCCTGGTTCAGTTTTGGTAGTTTTTGTCTATAGGAATTCATCCATTTTTTCCAGATTGCCTAGTTTATTGGCATATAGTTGCTCATAATATGTTCTTATAATTGTTTGTATTTCTTTGGTGTTGGTTGTGATCTCTCCTCTTTCATTCATGATTTTATTTGGGTCCTTTATTCTTTTTGATAAGTCTGGCCAGGGTTTTTTCAATCTTATTAGTTCTTTCAAAAAACTAGCTCTTAGTTTCGTTGATCTATTCTACTGTTCTTTTAGTTTCTATTTCATTGATTCTGCTCTACTCTTTATACTCCATGTGGAAAACCCGAAAGACTCCACCCCAAAATTGCTAGAACTCATACAGGAATTCAGCAAAGTGGCAGGATATAAAATCAATGCACAGAAATCAGTTGGGTCTATACACCAGCAATGAGACAGAAGAAAGAGAAATTAAGGAGTTGATCCCAAGGAGGCAAAGGATCTGTACTCAGGAAACTATAGAACACTCATGAAAGAAATTGAGGAAGACACAAAGAAATGGAAAACGTTCCATGCTCATGAATTGGAAGAACAAATACTGTGAAAACGTCTATGTTACTTAGAGCAATCTACACATTCAGTGAAGTCCCTATCAAAAAAAATACCATAAACTTTTTTCACAGAACTGAAATAATCCTAAAATTTGTATGGAACCAGAAAAGGCCCCGAATAGCCAGAGGAATGTTGAAAAAGAAAAGCAAAGCTGGTGGCATCACAATTTCGGACTTCAAGCTCTATTACAAGCTGTAATCATCAAGACAGTGTGGTACTGGCACAAAAAACAGACGCAGAGATCAATGGAACAGAATAGAGAGCCCAGAAATGGACCCTCAATTCTATGGTCAACTAATCTTTGACAAAGCAGGAAAGAATATCCAATGGAAAAAAAGACAGTCTCTTCAACAAATGGTGTTGGGAAAATTGGACAGCCACATGCAGAAGAATGAAACTGGACCATTTCCTTACACCATACACAAAAATAGACTTAAAATGAGTGAAAGACCTAAATGTGAGACAGGGATCCATCAAAATCCTAGAGAACAGAGGCAGCAACCTCTTCCACCTCGGCCCCATCAACTTCTTCCTAGACACATCTCCAAAGGCAAGGGAAGCAAGGGCAAAAATGAACTATTGGGACTTCATCAAGATAAAAAGCTTTTGCACAGCAAA